AGGGGTGGGAGGCCAGTTGGGAGGCATCATGGAAGTCCCAGTGCTTACAGTAAGCTGGAGGCCAGCTGGGAGATGCCAGAGCCTGCTTGGAAGGGACCAGATTGGCATGAGGGGGAATAGATTCTCCCCTAGGAGGACTTGGGTTTCTCTGTAAAACAGTACCCCAAAGGATTCCAGCAGAAAAGAAACTCACTATGACTAAAGCTTTTTTTTTTGCCTTTTTAAAATTTTTATTCTTCAAATGAGGTCTTGCTTCAAACTTTTGGGGTCAAGTGATCCTCTCGAGTGAGGCTAACAGTACTCACCAGCACCCCTAGCTCCAACAAAAGGATTTTGTTTGCTTGTTTGCTTGCTTGTTTGCTCTCTTGAGACAGCATCTCACATAGCCCAGCCTTCTCTGGAACTCTCTGTAGCTGAGGATCACTTTGAATTTCCGGTTCTCTTGGCTCTACTTTTGCAGTGCTGGGATCCATTACAAGAGGATGCTAGCTTCTTCCCCGGGCATCTTTACGAGTGTTTTCCCTGCATATGTGTTTGTGTACCGCATGCATAACTGATATCCATGGAGGCTCTGATCCCCCAAAACTGGAATGATGGATGGTTGTAAACCATGTTGGTGATGGGACCTGAACCCAGGTCCTCTACAAGGGCGACAAGTGCTCTTAACTGCTGAGCCATCATTCTAGTCCCTTAATTATTTTTTTAAAGATTTATTTATTTTGGAATGTTCCAGATCTTGTGCTGGGATTTAAAAAAAAAGAGAGAGGAGTGTGAGAAAAAATGGGCTAAGGTGGAAGTAGATCAGGACATAGGCCACTGCAACAGCCCAGGCAGGAAGGCAGGACCAGTGTTCCATGGCACACTTGCCTAATGTGGCCACAGAGCACCTGAGATGGCCTTCCCTCTGTGAAATGTGCTGCACATGAAAATAATGTGTAGAAAGCACTCGCATAGCATCTGACCATAGCAAACAGTAGCTAGTTGCCACTGCCATTATTTCCCCTGAAGCCCATGTGCCCTTAAAATGCAAACCAAGTCTTCTCATTGCTGGCATTAAAACCCTCAAGGGCCTTCCCATTGTGGAATGCAGAAACTTTATACTTCTTGCCACAGCTTCCAAGGCTATTCATGGCCCAGCTCTGACCTTCTTTTCCGGCCTTAGTTCCTACCACTCTTCCCCCAAGCAACTCCCCATTGCTTGTCACCATGTCATCTTATTCGGCTCTCTTTCCCCTGGATTTTCCCTTTTCAGTTCAACCATCACCTTTCCTAATCACCCTAATGAAGAGGGTCTGCCTCTCATGTTCACCACAGGCTGTCTTAGGGCTGAGTATAGCTCAGTGGTAGAGGACTTGGCTAGGAAAAGGCCCGGTCTAATATTTTTTGTTGTTTTTTGAGACAGGGTTTTTTCGTGTAGCCCTAGCTGTCCTGGAACTCACTCTGTAAACCAGGCTGGCTTCAAGCTCACAGAGGTCCACCTATCTCTGCATCCCAAGGGCTGGGATTAAAGGCATGAGTCACTATGACCCAGCTCTCCCAGTCTCGTGTGGTAGGCCTGTAATATCAGTCTGGCCTACAAAACACCTATTTCAAAAATAAAACAAAATAATACAGATGAAATAAAAGTCTTGTTTACTGTTTCTCTCTCCAACTAGAATGAATTTAGCTTGTGTTCTCCAACACATGGGACAGAGAAGACTAGACTATAGAATCTCAAATTCAGGGAAGGACACAAATGACTAACCTTACAAGCTAACACAATGGTAGTTCCATTAACACCTGTGACTCTTCTGCATAGAGAATTAAAACAGTGACCTACCAATACATAGAGATATGATTCTAGGCATCTGTCACGGAGGACTGCAAAAGCTTTTATATAACAAACCACCAACACATTCTTGGGTAGCAATATTCCTGAAACAAGCGATTTGATGCTTCTGTTAAAACACAGACTCCTCACTTGGACCCAACCAAGATAACCAAAAACAGTATAAAAGCCTGGCATCTCTGCCTTCACTTTCTGTCTCTTGTATACTTCAGCTGAAAGGGCAGAGTTAAGTCAGCCTTAACCTTTCCTCGAGTTACCTAGGAATCATGGGACAGGTGGGACAGGTGGAGGACAGGTGGGAGCAATTATCCATGAGGGCATACCCCTGCAGCAGAGAGATACTTGTAGGAACAAAGATAACTCCTGCAAGAGAAGAAAGATGACAGGGATAAGGGCTTGGGCTCATCTTGCAAAACCAAAACTGAGACAACTATCAACGTGATCGTGCCTCTATCAGGACTGCTTAACTACGCCTCTCTTACATTCTTTCCCCAGATTCCTCTGTTGCAACCTAAACCTCATGCTGGTACTCTGGAAGGATTATCTTGGAATCACTGGACACTTTTATTGATCCTTTTAAACATTAAATAAATCTCCTTTTCTGCTTCTCACAAAGACTTGTCTTTTTAATGCATATTGGGGATGGGTGGGCTGAACTTAGCTTGTTGGGGTTGCTAGGGCCCAGGCTTCTGTGCCCCCTCAAAAAAGCTCCATTATTGAACTCCTAAAATGGATATATGCTTCCCTATGTCCCTCCACAGCTTCAGTGAAATTTTGCTTTCCTCTTCCGCATAATTTTACAGGACTGCGGTCAAAGTGCAGCCCCAGAGAATTGGGATAGGACAGTTGTAACCATTTGCTCCTACATTAAACACGGAAAAGTACTGTGTTCTTTCAAATTTTACTTTTCCTATATCTTAAACTGTTCCCCTACAAATGGCTGCTGTTCCTCTCAGTAACTCCCCTTTCCCGTCTTACAAACTGTCTATATTTGATCTGTAGAAAGTTGGTTTTTAAAAAATGACATAACGGGGGTGGTGATATAGGTCAGGAAGTAGACTAACACGCAGCGAGTGTCCTGGGTTCAACTCATAGCACTACATAAACAGGGTGTAATTCCAGAACTTGGGCAGTGGAGGCAGAGGATCAAAAGTGCAAGGTTGCCCTCAGCAACAGAGTTCAGTTCAAAGTCAACCTAGGCCACAAGAAACCTCTGACTCAACAAAATTACTAGAATTACATACCCTCAAAATTAGGTTAAGTAAATACAAAGAGGCATTTCTTTCCCAGATGTTAGGTACAGCTCTGGATGAGTTGGGCAATGAGCTAAAACATTATACTAAAAACTGAAACAACTTCATGATGAAATGCAGCAGGTTCAGGCAGGTCTGGGTTAAATCTGGGCTGTCATAGTTTAACCAAACTTCTTTACATTCATTTCTTTCCAGTAACAATTAATGCTGCTGAAGCATTTGCTATGTGTCCAGTCACTGCTCTGTCTCACCTCCACTGTAGCTAATTAATCCTTCAGATAAGTCCAGCAAAATAGCTCAGCAGGTACTTTCTGCCAAGTCTGATGATCTGAGTTCGAGTCCTGACACCCACACAGTGGAAGATAACCTAAGTTGCCCTCTGACCTCCACATACCTTCTATGGCATGAGCATAACCCCCTCAAAAATATACAAAGAGAGAAAATACAGCACCACCCTCCACTACCAGGTTCTAAAGGTAAGTAATTTGAAGCCAAGTCACTATTAAGGACTAGACAATCTAGCCCATCATAGGGTCAGAGGCCTTAGCTACCTACTCGTTCAACAGCCATGTGAGCTCCTCCTATTCTCTAGGCACTGATGAAGTCACCTAATACACACCAGTGAATGACACAGATGGCAGCTCAGCTGTAATCCACATTCTTTGGAGGCAGAGGCAGAAGTATGGTGAGTCTGAAGCCAGCATGGGTTAAGAGAGCCCTGCCTTGGTACAGACAAAAAGTTAGAACTGTTTTGTGAGCTGAGCATGGTGGCACACCCCATTAATCCAAGCACTAGGGAAGCAGAGACGGGTGGATCTCTGGGCGTTCTGGTCTAAATAGTGAGTTCCAGGACAGCTAGAGCTACATAATAGAGAGACCTTGTCTCAAAGTGGTTTGCCTCCTATGGAACTTAATTCTAGCAGGGGGTTGGACAAACAGTAAAATATGAACACAAATGTAAATTATGGGGCATGTTATTCATTTACATCACTTCAAACTGCCAATAGCCAAGTAGGGATGTGTTGTTTTACCTACAAAAAGGGTCATCTCGCGCAGCTCAACCCAACAGAGGTGATAGTGCAACATAAAGGAGAGTAAGAAGGCTCAGCCAAGGGGGGGTGGGTGTTAACTTGAGTAGCCAGGTGGTCCTCAATGGGTAACACCTTAGGGAGGAAAGGGCTCAGCAGGTATTCTTGACACTGCAACTACAAATGGCAACACCTGGCCATGAAGAACGAAATGAGAAAACAGAAATGAAATGCTTTTAATAAACTAGGAAGTTCTAGGACTGTGGCACTTTTTTTACTTAGTTACATTTGTTTTGTCAGATTAGTAGGTGCGTGCAGCCACACTTGTGATGGTGGGAGGACAACCTGCTGATCCATCCCACCAGTTTGACCGCAGCAAGTTCTTACTTGGTATTTAAAGCTCCCTACTTCATATCTCATTACAGTAGAAAGGCAAATAGGACTTTGGGCTTAAAATTTTTCTTTTACTCCCAAAACCCAAAACAATATTGTATTGTTATTGTTCTTTGGTTAATAAAGCTTTATCTACACAAAGAAGGTAATAGGACATGTCTGAAAACAAACTTGTAGATCAAATTGCAGTCTGAACAACCTCTCAGAAATCCAAGAGTCGTGTTCTTTTAACAGAAGAATGTATAGTAAATAGTACTGAGTGTCTGTAATTTACAATCTCAAGGAGCTTCCCTAAATCTACCAAATCATTCTATCAGATAACCATTACTTGCAATATTCGGGGAGGATTACAGTTACATTAGCTACTAAAACTTAAGGAAAAGGTAACCAATGGAAAACTGTATCAAGTTAATTTATAGGGAAATGATAGGCACGTAGAGTTCTATAAGAGACAGACCTTAGTTTAAGAACTCTTACATTAAAGAACTCAAAAAGCGGTAATTTTTTAGACTTTATTTATTTGCATTTAAAAGAAACTGTTGACAACGATTCACTAAACTAATCCAAGTGGGAAAATACAGTCAACACTGCTGAAACATACGTTTATTCCACTGAGTAAAACTTCTAAGATGGTTACTGACATGAAACTGAGTGTTTCAGACTGTTCTAAACACATGGTGGTATAATTAACAATATTCAATCACATCTTTCTTTCCTGAATATATAAAAACTAAAATACCAATTAAAAAACTAATATATCTTCTCTTTAAATGCTTCTTACACATATAATCTCAGTCTTATTTAACAGTGGTAATTTAAGAGATTATTTTGTTCACAAGGTACGTGACAATCTACCAAAGAGAACCAATAGTTGGCCTATAGGTTCATAGTGCAAATAAAAACTTTAAGAATGCAGCAACTGACATTTCTAAAAATAAAAAAAAACATAAAATTCTTATAAGGTTCATGCAAAAAGTTTTCCTAAGCAGATAGCCGCAGAACTAGAATGCTTCCTAATTTGACTGGCAACATCAATGGGATTCCTTATGTTTTGCAGATTTCAACTTGAACTCGTCTTAGGCCTTGTATTTGGCTTTTCCAGTTTCACTAATGACACAAACATGCTATAAAATAAAAGAAATTCATATTAGAAAAATGTATTCTGGAGAGGCAAGAACAGCATTAGAGAATACTATTACATTGTCTGGGTTCCTACCAAACAAGGTAATTTGGAACAGGAACTTGAAGAGAACACATTTTGAAAACAAAGCAGAAATATGTTCCATTAGTGTGCTTTTTTTCTTTCTTAATATGTAACTTTGAAAAACATATAAAGCTGAGCATTGACGGCATATCAAAATGGGGCCAGTGTACCCAGGTGATGGCACAAGCCTTTAATCCCAGCACTGGAGAGGCAGAGGCACATGGATCTCTGTGAGTTTGAGGGAGTTCCAGGACAGTAAGAGCTATACAGAGAAACCCTGTCTCAAAGAACCCCTCCCAAAAAAATAGGATTCAGGGTAAGTAATTTTTAAAAAAGATGAAATAAAACCCGCATTTTAGATAATGCTATTCATGTAGTCTTCTTAACTACTCCTGGACCATGAGTTCATACACTCACCTGAGGGACTCTTGCCTCCAGAGTGGGAAGCAGGTATCTGAAGTAGAGTCAATTACAAGATTTAAACAGAATTGTTTATTTCTCACTTATGACCATCTTTATCATGTAACAGTGAGACAGTTACTGTATATTAAAGCTGTTCCGCTATTTCAGCCAGCAAGAAGTGTCACCCTAACCTGGCCACGTTCCAGTTCTAAGGACATCTGCACTTGAACTACAGCTTTGTGACTAATGGGAACCAGCAGTCTGGTCAAATTACAAGGTGCTCGGAGAAAACAATTCTTCCCTTTCCTAAATTTTTATGTAGGTTTTTGAAAAATGAGAGTGAGTAAAAAAAGAAGCATTACTTACATTCAAATCCCTGAAGTACTCATTATAGTCAAGGGCATATCCAACAACAAACTTGTCTGGAATTTCAAATCCAACAACTGTAAAGAATCACAGTTTACTATTTAGATACAAAAAAACAGCACTTTCAAATTCAATACTTGCAAATATGTCTTCTTTACAAATGTTCTCTAAAGTAACTCTAAGACATTTCATAGTCAATTTTTTCAGCTATAAGATGGAAAAATGATTGACCAAAGAGCATCTACTTACAGTCCGGCCTATACCCAACACTTCGAGAAGTCCTTTTCACCAGCAAGCTGTTAATTACAAATATTACATGTGAGATATGGAAAGACAACAGAGCATTACAAAAGAAAACAGTGTTCTTAAGTAGTACCATCTACATTTAGAATATGGCTAGCTTTGCATACTCATAGGAAGACAGAAACGGAGAGCTAAATCAGAGTTCACATGAAAGACAAAGACCTGACTGATCTCTACCTGGAAGCTGGCAAGATGTTTCTAAAAGCAGAATACTAACACTCACTTGTCTGTTGAAACACAGCTACTGAGGAGGATGAATGGGCGGGGGTGCCAATAAGCAAAGATGAAAATATAAGGGATCTAGATCCATAATCCTTGAAATACAACCCCTAAACTTTAAAGGGCATGGGTAAGAAATGCTCTTTCATCAAAACTTTTAATAACTGTCTCACAAACGGGAACTTTAGCCTGCGAAACAAATGCATTTAAAAAACCTTTTTTTCCCCCCAGTGGAGATTGAACCCAGAGACTTGATTATCAAACCAAGACACAGACACTGATGAACTAAGTGACTGCGTGAAGATTTCACCAATTTTATATAAATTCATCTCTTTCTGTGTAGTTCAGGCAATTTTAATCACATGTGAATTTATCTAATCACTACCATAATCAAGATACTTTGAATCATGCAAAGCTCCCTCGTATATTCCCTTAACCCCTGGCAACCCCTAATCTGTTCTCATCTGTATGACTTTGCCATTTCAAAGTAGGTTATATAAGTAGAATCATACAGTTTTATTACTTTGCTTTGGGGGGGGTGTCTTATAATACCCTTGAAAAAATACGGGATTTTAGGTATGTCGAAACAGGGGCAGGTAAGCAAGTCGTTTAAACAGAGCAAAACACCTGCTTTAAGTGCTGCTTAAAGTGTACAGCTCCAGTAAGAGTCTGGACTGTTGTATACCACTAGTTCCTCTTTACTGCTGATTTGATGGTATAGGTGTACTACAGTTTTATTAAAATTTTGTTGCTTCTAATTCTGGGCTATCACAAATGATGTTATGAACATTCACATGTACAGATTTGAGTAGGGAGGTATGAGACAGGCATGAAAGCTCAGGCTGAGTGTCTCAAATTCAATGTGATCCTCCTGCCTCCTCTTTCCAAATGCTGGGATCACAGGGGTGAACCAACAAACCTGGCTATCAACATGTATTTTCCCTTCTAAGGGATAAGCACTCAGCACAAATTGCAAGGCCTTCTGGTAGTTATGTGTGCAGCTTTTTTCTTTCTTCTCTCTCTCTCTCTCTCTTTTTTGGTTTTTCGAAACAGGGTTTCTCTGTAGCTTTGGAGTCTGTCCTGGTACTAGCTCTTATAGCCTAGGCTGGCCTTGAACTCACTGAGATCTGCCTGTCTCTCCCTCCCGAGTGCTGGGATTAAAGGCGCATGCCACCACCAGTCAACAGTTTTTAAAAAAACTGTTTTCTAGAGTGGTCATACTATCTTATATTCATATCACATAACAACTTTCTAATTTTTATTTTGGGGAAAACAAAACAAAACACTTGTGTAAGACAACTACATTATAAAAAAAAAGACAAAAAAATGAGGTACATTTCCACCATCTATCAGAAAAGTTCATGAGCATAAACTCCTCAATATGCTTCATTAAAATTAGAGATTCAAAGACTTTACTCAGACAATTTGATCCTTTAAAAAAACTTTGTAAAAGCCAGTTACTTGGTCAACAGAGATGGCTCAGTGGGTAAGACTATTGCTGCCAAGTCTGCCAACCCACCACCACCCAGGAATAACAAGGTAAAGAGAATCAACTCCCCCATGCTGTTCTCCGACCTACACAAGTACATGTGCCACATGCCCATATCCCTGCCACAATAAATAAATGTAATTAAAAAATTTTAAGAATATGTTAATCAATCATTCAGGGGGAAAAAAAGACATGAACTTTCTTCTACATAAAAACCACTGATTAGTAGTCAAAGATTTTTTAAATCAAAATGAAATTGTAAAAATAAAAACAAAGCAAAATGTAACAGCAACAAAATAAAAATGATGTTACTTTTAGCAACACCAAAATCTAACTTAAAATAACAGAAGCATCAACTGAGCAGGTTCCCTGTATTCAAATCATCTCCCTACAGCTTATTAACTGTGTCTGTGGGCAATTCCCAATGCCTCAACATTCTCGTCTGTAAAGTGGAGATAACAAATGCTGTAGGATCAAACTATAACTAAGGCTAAAAACAGAAAGAACTATAAAAGCAAAAGCCAAATATCCAAGTATATAGCAAGGAAGATGTGGGACTGCTTCAGAAACAGGAAGCAGGCATTGTAAAATTTCAATGACAAACAGGAAGCCTTATCCATCACTCAACTCCAGGAGATCCAGATGTTCAGGGTCCACCCCTTGTGGGTATCACCTTTGGTATCACTGATTTCCATTTCACAAGGTGATTCTAGATCCTCTCATGCTACTCAGCACAAGTTTGACATAAATAACATGCCACAAAACCAACTGTTACTTGACTCTACATATGTGTTGAGAGTTCTGTATCTAAAAACTCGTGTATCAAGTTGGTCTGCAAGCCACAGGCACCAGAGTTTGCCTCTTCAATATTCACCTGAAAAGCTGGCCATGGCTGTATGTGTTGTGACTCCAGAGCTGTGAGGTTCGAGACAGATTCAAAAGCTCACCCACCAAACAGCCTGTATTGCTAAAACTTTGAACTTACAGCTCAGCTAGAGACCCTGTCTCAGGCAACAGAGGAAGATATCCAGTCCTGCTCTGGACTTTGCATATGTGCACATGTGTACTCACCTATACACTGCACATAACACACACACATCCAACTATACTAAAAACATAAATATTTTCCTACATGACTCAGCATAATTATTTACATGACATTAACACTGTAATAGGTATTAAAGTATATGGAAGAATATGCATAGGTTCTGTGCACACACTCTTGACATTCAAAAATTAAATTATATTTATTTTATTTGTATGTGGGTTGGGGTCATGTGTCATGGTATATACACGGATGTCAGAGGGAAATTTTTAGGAGTCAGCTCTCTCCTCTCACCATGTGGGTCCTGCGGTTTGAACTCAGGTTATCAGGCTTGGCAGTAGATGACTTCACCCACTGAGCCATCTCACCAGCCCTTCTGATATTTTTTTCTCATGAAGGACTTGAATATCTAGGGAGCTTAGTGTCTGCGGTGGTTCTGAATCCAAGGAATTGTATCTACTGCATTAGACAAGGAGTTGACTATAATGAAGGTCTTTATTAACACACAATAAAATTACAAAGGATACTGTCTAAGTTTTAAGATTACATTACTTTTTAATGATAAAATGAGAGCTGAAAGCATTTCTCCTTACAAAGAAGCAACTACTCAGTGCTCCAGATGAAGAAAACATTCTACTTTAAAATGTCATACATACCTTGCGACCTTAACCATTTTGGGGTTGTACTGCTTGACCAAGGAAAGCAAAGTCTGCATTGTTTTACCAGTGTCAATTATATCCTTTCGAAAAGAAAAGAGACAATTAATGGTAAATAAAACCAGCACAATTTTAAAATCAGAGTCATTATACAAACACAAAATATTAGAGCCCCAATGTTCTGGTATTCCATGGCACAACGGCATCATTTTTTCAGCACATACAAAAAAACCTAACAATTCACACACAGAGATAGTCTGGAAGTTGTAACCCATCTGGCTTGCAGCAAGTAGTGGGAATGTCAGTCCTACAACTAGATTGCACAGGTGTAGCAAGGAAAAAACAATGACTTGAAATGGTTGCATGTAAACACTGCACACATACACAAATATTTCTGTTGTTTTTCACACAGGGTCTAGTTGGCTCATGTTGGTGGCCTTAAACTCAAGATCCTCTTGCTTTAGACTCCTGACAGCAAGGATGACAGACATAAAACACCATGTTTAATTCTGTAAAAGTATATTGAATTTTTTTCTTTGTAATTTCAAGATAGGGACTCTTTCATCCAAAATTCTGATACTGTGAGAAAAGGTTTTGTATTATGTTTTAAGGCATCCAAATTACTAAGTTTTACTATATAAAATGACTTTATCAGGGGTAAAGCATCTGTTTAAGATCCGCAGGGCCACAAATCTCTATACTATACTATTAAAAAAAAACAGTATCAGAAAATAAATAAAACTCCATAAAGTAACGTGAACCACAAGAAATATCAGGGCTAGAGACTTGTGAAAATGAATATTCTATGGTGTGGCAGGCAGAATACTGATGGGCACCAGAATTACTGCCCCCTAAAGTACACACTGGAAGAACTTTTCCCTCTTGGAGATGATCGGGATCCATGAAGGTAACAAGATATAGAATAATTTCAGCAGGCTAAAAAGAGAATTCTCCTGCTGATTTCGAAGAAGTGAGCTGTCATGCTAGGAGAAGTCTGTGTAGTAGGACATGAGGGATGATCTTGTAGATGAGAGCCAACGTTGGCCATTAGGCAGGGAGAAATCTGTCCCTCATTTGGACAGTCACACAAGGAACTATATGGAGCTATATCATCCTGAGTACATTTTTATTTGTGCGGTGTGTGTATATACACACCTGCTATGGTTCAAAGCCAGCCTGGTCTACATAGCTAGTTTCAGGACAGCCAGGGCTACATAGTGAGACCCTACCTTAAAAAAATAAGAAAATAAGTGAAAGAAGCCAGACACAAAATGCAATTACTATGTAATTCCATTTATATGATAAGTCCTCAATAGACAAATCTTAGAAAGTGGAGACGGTGAAGGAAGAAATAAGAAATGAAGGCTAATGGGACTGATTTTCTCTGTAGGGAAATGAAGATGTTTTTATAGCGTTACTTAAAAAAATAAGTAAGGGCCACCTAGATGGCTTGGTGGGGAACGCCATTTGCCATGTAAGTCTAGTGGCCTAAATTCAACCCCCAGTTTCCACGTAAAAGGTAGAAGGAAAGAACCTATTATACAGTTGTCTTCTGACCTCCATGAGCATACTGTGGTACATTCACCCATGCAAACTTTTTTTTCAAGATAAAGGCACTCTGTGTAGGTTTCTCTGCCTTGGAACTCAATTTGTAGTCCAGACAGGCCTTGAACTCATGGAGATCTGCCTGCCTGCCTGCCTCTACCTTCCAAATGCTGGGATTAAAGACTTGTGCCACTACTACTTGGCAACAAACTTTTGCTGTTGTTTTGTTTTTGTTTTCTGGTTTTTTGGTTTTGGTTTTTCGAGACAGGGTTTCTCTGTGTAACAGCCCTAGCTGTCCTGGAACTAGCTCTAATAGATCAGGCTGGCCTCGAACTCACAGAAATCCATCTGCCTCTGTCTCCCAAGTGCCGGGATTAAAGGTATGTACCACCACCGCCTGGCAACAAACATTTTTCATTAAAGAAAAGTCAAAGGTGGTGGATAAGTACAAGGAAACAATGTTTTCTGACACCGTACAGCAGTTGTACTTATCAGAGCTGAGAAAGCATATACAAAACTGGTGCGGGGTCAGGCCAGACAAAATCCCAGTGTGGAGAGAGGAGGTGGGCATCATGTCTTGCCTTCAGTGAAGGAGCTATTAGCAACTGATAGCTGCTGTGAGAGGAGAGTCAGTTTTCTTTAAGGACATGGCTCCTGGTGGGTTGACCACTCTAGCGAAGGCCACACATCCAAGAGCAGCACCTAACTGTGCTGTTGGATTTTTAAAAAAGACACAAAAAGTTGGGTAGATAGGGAAGGGTGGACATCTGAGAGGAGTGGGAAGAGGGAGTGAACATAATCAAAATGCACTGCACTAAATTCTCAAAGAACTAAATAAAGAGAAAAAATTTAGAAAAGAAATACTAATTGAACAATGGTGGGATACACCTGTAATTCTATCATGTGAGGAACATGAGTCCAAAGTCAGCACAGGTTGCACAATGGGTTCAAAGCCAGCTTGGAGGTCAGAACAACTGTAACGGTAGCATTCAGAGGGCAGAGGCAGGTCATCCTGGTCCACACTGTGAGACCCAGTCCAGAAGAGGATACACTAAGACCTAGTGTCATAAAAGAAAAAAAGCCATCTGTACAAGATCCTGTTGAAGGAAAGAAGGAAGGATAGAGGGAAGGAGGGAGCAGAAATGGAATAAGGGAAAGAGAGGGAGGGAAGGGATGAAGATGATATGATGGTAGATGCCTGTAATTCCAGCACTTGACTTGGGAGGTGCAGGCAGGTAGATGGGAGTTAAGAGTTCAGCCTGGGTATTTAGCTACCTCTTTTTCAAACAAACAAAAAACAAAAAGAACTGAGGGTGAAGCCTAGTGGTAGAACATTTGCTTAGCATGCTCTGGGTTTGATTCCTAGCGTCACATATAAAAACAAAGAAATAAAATTTCCTTTGTTAAAAAACCAAATATAGAAAAAAAACAAAACAAATGCAGGTCGGAAAGGTGGTTCGGTGGTTAAGATTACACTAGCTGTGTAATCATGAGGACTGGAGTTTGGATCTCAGTACTCACATAAAAACCCAGATGCAACCCAGGTCTGAGAAGGCAAGAAGTGAGAGGATTGCTGGAGTTTGCTGGCTTCTAGCATATGTAAGAAAATGCGAGCCCCAGATTCAGAGAGAGACCCTGTCTCAAATGAATAGACAGTGCAACAGAAAGGGCACACACACATGCTCTCTGGTCTCTGTATCTGTGCACAGGCACGCATACTTGCATATACACTCAAGACATACAAAACACATGCACAAAAATAAATATTACAAAAAGCACAAAGAAACAAAGAGATTACAAAAACGAATAAGCAACTAGGGGCAGAAAAATGATAGAAAAATGTTCTGGAAAATATGGAAAGTATAAAGAAAATGAAAAATAATGGAAACAAGGTTGGTTATGTATTCTGAAACCACATTGAAAAACCTATTAAAATGTTTACTGAAGAATTGAGGATTAGCATCAGGGTAGAAGGATGATCACAAATAGGTATACAGAGTTCAGTAAGGCAGACAGATATGAAATAGGGAGGCCACAAAAAATAAAATGTGTGTAGGCTGTTAGACAATGATAAGTAAAAAAGTACTGAAAGAGATAGGAAGTTGACATGGAAATGTAAGATTTTATGTAGGATAGGCAAAGAAGGTCTTAATAAGAAAGTGACTGCTTAGTAAATAGATGGTTCTTAAAGCTTAGCATGCCTCACAATCAGCTCAAGGTTTGCTCAAGAAAAGCTCACTGGTTTTCATCAGTATATCTTTGGCTGATGCTTTTGGTTTTTAGGGATCACACTGAAAAGCAATGGGCTTCAGAAAGTGATGGTTTGAGTCTTACTCCACTCACTTCCTGGTAACTTGGCAATCTGTTTGCCCTTCCTGTGCTTGTTTCTACATCATTTACAGTAGCTAATTGGCAAAGTGAGCACTGGATAAACTTTACTGATACTATATACAAAATACTCAAAGACATAATAGCAAAGAGAAAATAACACATGAACTATAAATATAAGAATATTTGATTCTCATATTATTTAAGATAAAATAAGAATCTTATGATGTTTCATAAAATAAAATGTAGGATAGTAAATCACATATATACACATACCCCTCTATATAGTTATAGCTAGTTTTAAAAGAAAAAAATCAAAACCAAAAGAAAGTGTGTAACTTTTTCATGAGCAGCATATAACATCATTTATCCTTTTTTGTTTGTGCTTTTGTTGTTGTTATTTTGTTGTTTTTAAAAACAAGGACTCTCTGGTTTCAAACTTATTATGTAACTCAGGCTAACCTAAGCAGAATTCAAGATCCTCCTGAGTATGTGCAATTCCAGGCATGTCATACTGTACATGATTTCTCTTTGTTTTTAGAAAACACAAGTCCCCATTAAAACAAAAAGATTTTTATCCCTGGCTTACCTTTATTACAATACATGCTAATTTAGAAAATTTTAAACAGTATATTAAAAGTAAATGCAGAACTTACTTCAACAATCAAGACATTCTAGGAGAAAAAAAGAAATGAAAATTAGTATATGAAGTAAGATATATTTCCAATTATCAGTGAAATCATATAACAAACTCTAAGAAATTACCCAAACTCTTGCTTATAATTATTTGATTATACAGAATCCTATTTGAAACAAGTGTGCTATTAGAACTTAGAACTCCTTCATATTAAATCTTTCATAAAGAATATTTGACCCATATGTTCATTTTTAATATATAAAAAAGCTTTTAATCCTTAACACAATTCTGTGAAATTTTTCTGGATCTCAGTGTCCCACATGTAAACTGAGAAACCTGAACCAGCTGGCCTTTTATGTATCTTGACTCTAATATTCCAAGAACTGCAATCTGTACAAATGCCTCCCAAAATCAGGTATTTAACATAACTGAGAATGCAATTAGTATTTTATTTTTACCTCAAGTTAAAACTAGAATGGTTGCACACATATCTGAGGGACTACACTAAAGAAAAATACCAATACTTCCTCTTACCATAAACCCTTAAACCCATTCCAATCCACTCTTCTCTTTTCCTTTACTCTGTAGCCCAGGCTGGCCTAGAACTCATTATGTAGTCCACTCTGGCCTCAAACTGTATTTTGTAAACTATGCTAAGATTTATTTGAATAGCTACATTGTTTTAAATCAGTATATTAATGTATTTTCAGTTTACTTAGAATTTATATAGACCTCATAATAAAAACATAGTTATGTTATTCTTTTCTTTTACTCTGTAGCCCAGGCTGGCCTAGAACTCATTATGTAGCCAACTCTGGCCTCAAACTGGCAGCAACATTCCTGTTTTAGTCTACTGAATGTTAAGATTACAGTTGTGATTTACCATGCCTGGGTCCTCACTCACCCCACTTTCTGTGTTTATGCTAGTTGAAAGAACAAGACAGCAGTTCACATGCCTACAATACTCACTGCACAGATTTATTCTATACTGTTCATCTATAGCTCTCAATGCACTCTGTCAAACAACCATAAATCAGAATTTTAAAGTCCTCTATATTATTCTAAGCTAGTGGTTATCAAGGTAGAATACATAGCATCTACTGGGTTTCATGAAAATTTGACCTTTTCACCTTGTGGTGGTCTGAATGAGAATGCCCCCCATAGGCTCTTACATTTGAATGTTTGGTCCCTAGTTACTGGAACTGCTTTGGGAAAGATTAGTCAGTGTGGCCTTGTTGGCGGGTGTGTGTTACTGGGAGTGGGCCCTGATGCTTCAAAAGTCCATGCCAGCCCCAGTCTTTAGTATTCTCTGCATCCAATTTGCAGATAAAATACAAGCTCTCAGCTACTGCTCCAGTGTCATGCTGTCAGCATGTCACCATGTTCCCACCCCACCCCCCAGGATGCTCATAGACACACCCTCTGAAACTGTAACCATGCTCCCAATTAAATGTTTTCTTTTATAAGTTGCCTTGGTCATGGTGGGTCTTCAAAGCACTAGAAAAGTAACTACAGACATACTTCCTTTTATTTAACCTACAGTGTTAAATACTTTACAACATAAATTACTATCAAACTCATACATAATTTACAAATACATATGCTGTGGGTAAATCCTTGAAAAACTGTTTTGTGACTGGGTATGATAATCAAAGTTTGGAGAATCACAGCTTATGCATTAAAAGTAAATTGTAACCAAGAAAAATTCTAATATGTCCATGTCTCAAAGCAGTTTATCATATAAGGCAGTATCTCATAGTCCTGCACGAGTCTTAAGAATAGAATCAAGCAAGGTTAGCCCAGAACTTCTGGAAAGCAATTCACAACTGCAACCTATTCTATAGATAATAAAAAGGTCACTTTAAAGTAAAGCTCAGGATATGCATAGAAAATAAAACAGACATTAAAAATTTGGGGCAATCTAGAGGCACAGAGTACAGAACAAATTAATTACATTGATTTATTCAAATTGTGGTTCTTTCATCTAATAGTGACTAAACGTCAACATCCTACTATATGGAAAGGGTATGATGACTCTCTTACAGGACAACTATGAGGATTATATGAAATAATAAACATAAGATGCAAATCTTTAGCAAAATTGAATATATAGTTAACTCATGAGTCAGAAACTGCTTCCCTAGTTCCCTACCTTGAACATTTGAAAGATAGCAGTCCCATCAATAAGTGGTTCATAGCAGCAGTGATAGCTGCTACAGTATTATAGAATTATATACTGGTAAACAGCATGGGCTTCTGGGACAGAGACTGAATTACTGGATTCTAATCTTCTGTCTAATACTAAATACCCGTGGTTGAGTTGTATTTTAATTCTTTACATTTATTTTATGCTTCATTAGGGAAGTTGTAACAGCTCAAATGTGGAGGTCAAAGCTATTTAACCCAGGTCATCAGGCTAAGTGGCAAGTGTCTTCCTGCACCAAGACATCTTGCTGGACCCTAACTATAGATTTTAGTATAAGACAGTTTATACAAATCAACAAAGTCCAGAAAGATCAAAATTTGTCTAATCAATACAAAACTGTTCTAGATTATTGTGCCAATACAGGAACTGAGAATTGCTACCACTGAGAGTTTATTTTATGTCAAGTTGCTACATGTCTACTTAATAACGAAAACAATGAGGCTCAGGAGTCAAACAACTTACCTAAAGTAGTCAACAAAGACAAACGCAAGAGGAATGATTTGAATAAAGGTAGATTTTGGATCTAAAGCAAATATTCTCAAGTATAAATTCATGTGAAACTATTTATATGTATCTGTACTTGCACACACATAAATTTTTGTAAAAGAAAAAATTTCAAATAAACCCATAATCTCATCGCCAAGATTTAACTCCGCTTAATTTTTATTCCTTGATTTTTTTCTACAATAAACAGAATCTACTGTGACTGTCACAAAAAGTTATTTTAGAAGCAAAGATCTGTTTAAGATCAAGGAGCTGTGTAGTGGGACAGAGCCATTAGGTGAAAAAGACAAGGTCAAACTAAATCACACAGGCCTTGAAGGCTAGGCCCCTTCCAGCACTGAAAACTGATTATAGAAGTGCAGGTTTCGAATGGCTTCTAAATATGGACAAAGCACGATGAAACAGGAGGAGGTCTGGCAGTTGTACACCAAATGGACAGGAGAGAAAAAGAACCAACAGATTACAACTTCTCCTCTGAAGTTTCGAAACACCACTGATGGCAGAATTAGTTTGGCATGACCCCAATATAGGACAGGACTATAGAATTTCACAAGTGTTTTATGTTAAAGTTCCCCTACAGATTTTCAGTGAAGTAAACAGAGAGTACTAAAATCTAAAAGCTAAAGGAAGAGCTTTGGTGTCTGCATTCAAGCTCTTCTACTTCCTTGTTGTGTGACTTTGAGATTGTGAGACAGTTTTCATCTCATTATCCCAAGTAACTTTTCAAACTGTAACTCTATTGATTAATTTCCTGATTTGCAGACTGGGAATAACTTCCCTCACCGGTCTACTGTGAAATTTACCAAAGTAATATATTTATACACGGTATGGTGCCTGAAAGTAAACAATAACTAGCAGTTTAGAAAACATATTCAATCCCAGCACTTGGGAGGCTGAAGCAGGAGGATCACCACGAGTTCAAGGCTGGCATGGCTTACACATGAGATGCCAGGATGGTATGGGCTACAAAGTGAGACTGTCTCAAAAAAACAAAAGGCACTTGGTGCCAAGTCTGTCTCATAATGTGAACACAATTCCCTGAACCTACATGCTGAAAGCAGATAACTGACTCCTATAAGTTGTCCTCTGACCTCCACACACTCATGTATATCATACACACACACGCACGCACGCACGCACACACACACACACACACAGAGAGAGAGAGAGAAATAAACCAATGTTAAAATATTTATTTATCAGAAACTTCTGTAATAGCTCTAATAATATTATATCACTTAATCCTTTTAACTCTGAGATAGCTACCACTAACATTTTTAGCTCTACCTGCTTCTGAGGTGCATAGGGTTAAACATCCTCCCCAAGGTCACAGAGTTAGGAAATGCCAAGGCAGGTTTTTGATCAACACTATCAGATTCCACAACTCACACTTTCAGACACCATACAATACTGATTTTCTATTCCTTTAAAGATATAAAAGTAGGGGCTAGAGGAATAGTTCAGTGGTTAAGAATGTGAAGAGCTTGATGTACAATCATAAGGACTGGAGCTAAGATCCAAGCACCCATGTAACAAGCAGGGTAATCCTGCAAATGCCTGTAATTACAGCTCTGACAAATTTAACACCTTCTTCTGGCTTCTGTGTGCACGTACAGGCTTGAATACTGACAGACACTACACATGCACCTTAAAAATAAAACTACATGTGAATATCTTTTTTAAAGACTGTCTTTTGGCCAGACAAAGGTGGTGCACACCTTTAATCCCAGCACTTGGGAGGCAAAGGCAGGGGATCGCTGTGAGTTCAAGGCCAGGCCAGCTTGGTCTACAGAGTGAGTTCCAGGACAGGCTCCAAAGCTACAGAGAAAAACAAAACAAAACAAACAACAACAACAACAAAAACAAACAAACAAAAAAAAAACAAAAAAACCCGCCTGGCTGTGATGGCGCACACCTTTAATCCCAGCAATCAGGAGGCAGAGGCAGGCAGATCTCTGAGTTTGAGGCCAGCCTGTTCTACAAGAGCTAGTCCCAGGAAAGGCTCCAAAAGCTACAGAGAAATCCTATTTCGAAACAAACAAACAAACAAAAAAAACAAGAAGAAGATTGCCTTTCTCTTTCTCCCTATTTGTATTTTCTGAAGGATCCCAAATTAGATTTTCCAAGAAGTATTACAGAAAGTAGTAATTACCAATATGGATTTTTGGCATTAATGTTAGATTCTGTAATCATTTGGCTATACAGTCCAGGGGATAATATTAAGATACATAAGGTACTTTCCAAGAGTTAAGTAACACTTGCTTATCTTCTACTAATAAAGTACCTCTGAGTATGTGATTGACAGCACAGTTAATTTAATTGATTCTTGGTATAAAAAAAGATTCTTTCAAGATACATACCTTTCCAGTTAAAGTTGAGAGATCATCACCACCAATAACTTTTATGTCCCCTGTTGACTGATCATTCTAAATTTAAAAAAATATGAATCATTTATAGGCATATTCTTGTGTACATACAAACTTCTCAAATTATCTTATGTAAGCTACAAGATTTAAGAAGTTAGCTATCTAGTGGCCACACCATTATGGTATTCTAAATTAAATGAATTATAAGAATTAGATTTCTAGAAATGAATGACTATGTAAATTGCACATATAGATTAGTAAAAATTAAAAATCCTAATTGGCCATTACTAGTTTTTGATGTTCTGAAGAGTCCTAAAAATAGAGTACATGCATTTCTGAGCGGGATATTATAGCTACTCATCATCAATCAGGCACTTCTCAGTCACAAAGGACATTTTATTAGCATGGCAGGTGTCTGCTTCTGGCCCTCAAACATTCCTGTGAGTCACACAAGGAAGGAGTTGGTCTGGGTCACATTCAACCCTGAGGGTAACCCCTAAAAGTCCAGCCCATATCCAAGTCATCTTCAGAACTGAGAAACCAGGTATAAACTAGTCTGTTATAACATACTTCTTAGGTTCTCACTTTCTACTCTCATAGAAATTAGCAGAAACCCTTATAGGGGTTTCAAAGGAGAGCACTTAACACTCACTATAGCTGGTGGGAATAACTATAATTTGGATGTGCTGGAATCAAGACAAAAAACTGAATGAAAACAGATGAATAAAAGAGCCTGGACCTGTTCTACTGGGACAGTAACGAGTACTATAAAGCTACAGCAATTACCTTGTGTCAACCAACACAGTGATTGACAAAAAGTTAAAGGAACCAAGTAAAATCCAGAAACAGACCCAAAAACATATGACAACTTAGTATATGACAAAGATGGTATTTTGAGTCAGTAATTAAAAGATGAATTATTCAACAAATGGTGTTTGATCAATTACTTATCCATTTGAGAAAAAATAAAGCATGGTCCCTACCTCATGTCATGCATAAAAATAAATTCCAGATGGATTAAAATCTAAATGTAAAAAATAAAACTATAAGTGGATTGGAAGAAAATGTAGGAAGATATTTTTTCCTTGCATCCTTAGAAAGGGCAAAAAACTAGTTATGAACTCCAACTGAAAAACTCTATAAAGAATCTTCCTTATGCATATTACAATTCAAAATAAGAACCCACCAGATGGGACTGAAGAGACAGCTCGTCAGTTAAGAAGCTCGTCAGTTAAGAACACTTGCTGATCTTGCAATGGACCTGGGTTCAGTTCCCAGTGCCCACATGGCAGTTCACAATTGCCTATTACTCCAGTTTCAGGCAATCTGATCCCTACTTCTAGCCTCAAAAGCATCACGCATGCACATAGGGCACATATACACACACTGGCATTCACACATACACATAAAGACAAACACATCCTTTTTTAAAGTTTACAAAGAACTACTAGAGCCCAGAGGTAGTGGTGTATACCTTTACTTCCAGCACTTGGGAGGCAGAGGCAAGCAGATCTCTATGAGTTTGAGGACAGAGCAAGTTGTAGGATAACCAGGACTGTTACACAGAGAAACCCTATCTCAAAAAAACAAAAACAAAAACCAGGAACTGCTGGAAAAATGTGATTCTAGTGTTCACCCATCTGTCCACATTTATAGAACTTAAGCCGGTAACACATTGAGGGGAAACAAATATTCAAGTTGTTGGTTGGATAACAGAAACCAATACAACATCTGTTGAAAAGAATATAGTAAATGCCTATTAAAATTATAAACATGCACACCATTTTGGACTAACAAACCCATTTCCAAGAATCAACATCACAAAAACATTCATGATCATGCGAAGGAACATGCTTACTGTATGTGTTACTCATCAAAAAGAATCAACATGTATTTTAACAGGTAATTAACTAAACTAATGAAGTTAATATATACACAATAATATTATGGAACTATTAAAAAGAATCATCACAAAATCTAATATATACTTATATGGACCAACACTAATAATACCAAGTAGCAAACCAATATGCTACCTATAAAACTATTTTTAAAGCCGGGTGGTGGCACATGCCTTTAATCCCAATACTCGGGAGGCAGAAGCAGGTAGATCGCTGTGAGTTCGAGGCCAGTCTGGTCTACAAGAGCTAGTTCCAGGACAGGCTCTCAAAAACTACAGAGAAACCCTGTCTCGAAAAGCAAACAAAACAAAACAAAAGCTATATTTATTCTGTATTTAAAAGTATGTTGGGGCAGGTACTGGTGATATACACGTGCATGTAATCACAGCTCTATGGAAGCTGAGGCAGGATTGAGTTTGAAATCACTCTGGGATACCTAACAACAGGCTATTTCAAATTAGCATAAAAAAGATAGCCAGTGGTGCCACTGCATACCTTTAATCCCAGCACTGGAGAGGCAGGTGGATCTCTGTGAGTTCAAGGCCAGCCTGGTCTAGAGTGAGTCGCAGAAAAACCAAGATTACACAGAGGAAACTCTATCTCAAAAAACAAAACAAATGATTGCTCAGTTGGTAGAATGTTTGCCTAGCATGTGTAAAGGGAAGTGTGTGTGGGGGGGGGAGAAATAAAAGTGTACTACTAGTACACGCTGTAAACTAAATGTTTCGCTTTTTAATGCCATTTTGCATATTATTTCTCATGTTACTCTAGCCTAAAACCCAGAATTTCAAACACACAGAACTGATTAATGACAATAAGAAAAAGAACTGTACAAAACCTGAAACTAATTTAGAGGGAATTCTGCTGAGTTCTACATAGTAATAACAAGCTTTGGTAAATACTGACATCTTCTGTAGAAAAGTGGTATTACAGTTCAACACCAATTAATTCCTTGGAGCTGTGATTTAAGGCAACAGAATTTCAAAGTACACAGAACACTGGCATTCTAAGATTGTTCAATTTCCCCATGTTTCAGCTTATGTTTTCTTGAAACTCCTTTTCAAGGAAAAGAGCCCCCTTTTAAATGGGGCTAATAAAAAGGTTCATTTAATAGTTGTTATGTGAGTGCCTATATTGTTTACAAATGCTATCCATGAATCAATTACCTGAGTTAGAAAAACTATAGCAACTTTTCTCTCTGTCTGGAACTCACTGTATCCTTAACTTAGAGCCACTCAGAGAGGCCTCATCTTTAACTATTATAGTAAATTCTATGGAGACATGACTGGAATGAATGAAAGGACAGTCCTCTCCAGATCTGCTCTAACTCCTTTCCCCTTTCTTACCACTTCATTAAACAGAAATGCTCAAGGTATCCTTTATTCAGGTGTCACTGTTAGTAATCAAAACTTCCCAGAGGGGGCTGAAGAAGTGGCTGAAATCAGCTTCCAGAAGAGCCAGGTTCAATTCCCAGCACCCAAATGGCAGCTCTCAGATGTCCGTAACTCCAATTGTAGAAAGTCAGACACTCTCTTCTTGCCTCTGTAGACTTCAGGCACATGTGTGGTGCACAGACATGTATGTAGGCAAAACACTCATACACATAAAAGTGTTTTAATTCCCAAAGAATCTAAGGGATCTAAAAATACAGCCTTAACATTTGTTTCTACTTTGTCTACCTCTTAATTAGAATGACAGGAAAGAAGTTTTATTCCTAATTTTCCATCCCTATTATTTTTGAAAATCTGTAAGTGGCAACAAGAGCTCTAGTTTTAGAGCATATTTGCTTATATACTTGAGGTCTTTGATTCATCTAACATTCAAAATAATTACAAATTTAAAACAATACTTGTTTACTAACAACCCTTTCTCCCAAGGGAGCTGGGGAGATGGTTCAATAGTTAAAGAGTACGTACTATTCTTGCAGAGGACCCAGGTTCAGTTCCCAGCACCCACATGGTGACTCACAAACATCTGAAACTCCACTTCCAGGGGATCTCATGTCTTCTGCAGGCCTCTACAGACATGAAGCATTTACACAGTGCACATACATACATTCAGGCAAAGCACTCACAAATATAAAATAAAAATAAACCTTTTTAAGAAGTAGAATTTGGAATGGCTTAATTTCTCTATAATTTTCTGCAGTTTTGTTTTAAAAATAAATATCTATTTTAGCCAGATAATGGTAGTGCGCATCTTTAATCCCAGCACTCAGAAGGTAGAGGCAGTTGGATCTCTGAGTTCAAGGCCAGCGTTGTCTACACACTGAGTTCCAGGACAGCAATAGCTTCATAGATTCTTTAAAAAAATAAAAATAAAAACCGAAAAAAATTAAACTACACAACCAAAATTAGGAATGATGGAATTTACATGTAAAGATTACATTTATTTTGTTTTATCACACTGTCAATATTCTAAACCATTTCAGACTCTGACAAAGGTAAAGTGGCCCCAGGCCAGAAGCGGTTTCTGTTGTCTAAGAAAAACTGTTAACCTTAATAATCAGACTTTGCTTCAAATAACTTAGGATTCCTCTCAAAGAAATTTAGTTCCCGAAAAAATTATCTGCTACCAGCACATACAGTCAGGAAAACACCAAGTCTTCAGAGCAATTCTTTTTTTTTTTTTTTTAAAAAATATGTGGCTGTGTCAGCTCAGCGAGATTCCTGGCCTGTAGAGAGCTGCATGATGCCATGCCTTAAAGGTGGCGCTGGTTTCCACCTTCCCAACGGTGAGTGCTCTCAGCTGTGAACAACTCCATATATGGCTAACGCTAAGGATCTGGCTTGCTTACGCGTTTCTGGACCTATCTGTGTTTCCCACGTGGCTTGCTGGGGTTGGCTACCCAGAGATTATTTAAGCTGTATGCTGACTCTGCTCTGGGCGAGAGGTGCGAGAGGTGTAAGAGGGTGAGAAGATTATTCAAAGGTCCTGAATAAACCGCAGTTAAGAAGAGTCCGGTGTTGCGTCTTCCTTGCTGGCAAGGCAGACGCGACACTGGCCAGCAAGGGGCACTGATCCTCTAGCAGAAGATTCATCAGAGGGATGAGTTTGCTCCTGACCCGTGGCAGAAGCCAAGCAATGAGGAGCTCAGACATTCCCCAACCTCCTTGACTCCCTGGTCAATCTGTAGGGGCTAAACCCTCTGGCCTCCTA